TTCAAAGACACCATCACATAATTCTTTTTCGTACTTGTCTCAAACTACAACACATTTAAGTAGGTTTTCAAGACAAAAAACAAGAACTCATTTGGAGGATAAAATTTACAAAAAAACAAACAAAATTGGAACTGCCTTCTTCTAGCCACAATGTTAACATGGCCCAAACATTAACATAGTGGACTACTGACAGATTTGGGGACTAGACTGCACTATGCCTCCCATAAATTGTTAGAGATTACTGCCGTTCTCGAGACAAGGATATTTGTACTGGAGGAGTCTTCTGAACTCTATGACACAGAGTAAGTTCATCAGAATTCAACTCAACAAGATTTAATTGGACAGCTATCTCTAAATGACATAATGTTTCCAAGAGTCACTGAAAAGAAACCAATGAAGTCACGTGCTGTGAATGGGGTTTCCTCGCTGGGATAATCTGGTTGCTAAACCTAAAGATAAGTGCAAGACTGTACTCTTATGGATTCAGTTCAGTTCTTCAGACTCTTAGGACTCACGTGGCTTAGCAAAACATGCACGTGTCTAAAAGGGATCAACTACATTGATAGTTTCAATCTGTTCTATATGTGCAGGCATCATTTCAGCGCAGATCGCCTCCACACAAGCAGATATGGAGTTAAAGTACTGATGGACCATATCTGGTCCAGCATCACCCATTAATAGGCCAGGCCCAGGATGATGCACCCTGACACACAGCAGCCTTGGCACTAGAAAGACAAAACACTGAAGCCTCAATGTCAGCTTGTTGACAACCAGCTCATGGATCAGTCTCCTAATTCCTCCTCCCGTCACTCTCTTCTCCCCTGCCTCACCCCTTGTGCGATTCACTGATAAAATGGAAGCGCTGGTTAACACTGGCATTAAATTCACCCCCTGGTCATTGCCATGTCGTCTGTCTCCACCCCAACAAGCACATTCTGTAACACCAACCTTGCTGATAACAAGGACGACAAAAAGAAAGAACAGCTCTCTCCTGCCTGGGCTGATGAGACTGATAGGGCCAGCAAGGTGACCAAACGTTTGTCTTATTAGTCTTCCCCAACTTCCCCTCTTACGGATATCTCGTACAAACTAAGATTAGAGATTAAGGAACTGGATGTGATGTTAGTGAAAACAGGAGAGACGATGACAGGGTCAACAGGGTTGACAGTCTGTCTACAGCCCTGTCACAAAAAATTTAATTGGAAAAGAATGCTTTTGAACTCCAAATTTAACTTTAAGTATTGATGATGATGAAAATGATTTAAGTATCAAGCACAATATCGGTTTTATGTTTAGAAATGTGATTATGCCAAGATCGCAGGAGTCAGCTCCTATCCACTTCCTCTTTTTTGAGGGGTGGCCATTTTTTTAATTCTGTGGCCACAGATGTGTTACTGTAAATCTGCTCGTTTTGAATATGTTGCTCTTCAGTTGAACTCGTGTTGTCGAGCTGCATTCTCAAACATCTACAGGCCACATAATTACAGTGCAAACATTTTTGATGACTTTACTGAACTGCTGTCTATTATCTGCACTGACTTTGACTGTGCAGTTATTGTTGGTGATTTTAACATTCATGGTGATACCCCCCAGTACAGCAGCACTTAAGAACTTTATTGTATTCTGGATAACTATGGACTGACTCAGCATGTGACAGAGCCCACACATAATAACGGGGGCACTCTGGACTAACTATCTCCAAGTGTCTTAACATTTCTAAGGTTGTGGTGGTGGCTCATTCCTGTGAGCATTCCTGTGTTCTCTTTGAGATGACTATGTCTTTGCACCCAAATGTTCAATCAGAATTAATCAGAAATCGCTGGAAACACTGAACACTGAATTACTCATTCAGGCTTTCTCTTCCTCACTCACCCTTGCCTGGGTCTCAGTCAAGAATCTTGTGGATATTTCAAGTTCTAAAATTACAGATGTTATTGATTCCATTGCTCCCACAAAGGTAAAGGTAGAAAAAAACACCATGGAGAAATAACACACGGGTAGAAAAATAAATAAAAGAGAGAGAGGTGAATGCAGTTGGTGAAAAACACATCTCCACATGCATTGTGACATCTATAAAGAGAGTCTTCGCCTTTTTAATTTAGAACTGAGAAATGCTAGGTGGTCCATCTGTGACATCAAAAGCAATAATAATGCATGGGCCTTATTCGCTTCTGACAACAAGCTGACAAACCCTCATGTGTCACAAACCCCTGAACTTTTATCCGCTAAGTCATGTAATGAATTTGCTTCCTTCTTCACTGACAAAATTCATAAAATTAAACAAGCTGTCAATTCCTCCATATTAGGTATAGGATCTGTATTGTCCTGTGTCAACCTAAAACCAATTTGATTACCATGACACAATTGAAGCCTATGTATTATACAATCTTGGAAGAATATGTGCAACAACTGACATCCCTCTCCTGCTGCGTTGATATTCTGCCTTCAGGCTTTTTCAAAAAATGCATTTAACTGCATGGTATCAGATCAATAGTAAACACTTCTCTACTCTCAGGCTATTTCCCACAGTAACTGAAAACTGCAGTTATTCAGCTCTTAAAATATAATAATCTAGATAACTCACTAATGAACAATTACGGGTCCATATAAAACTTCCACTTTTAATCATTGAAAAGCCTGTTTTTTAACAGCTTAACACCCTCTTGGTTTTTCCAGACAGGATTTTGACAACAACACAGCACTGAGACTGCTCTTGTTAATGTCTTGAATGACATCCACTTAAACACAGTGGAAAAGTCTCAGTTGGGATATTATTAGGCATGCTAGTCCACAACCAAAATACTATACTACATACTAGTCAGATTGGAAAAGTAGGTTGGACTTTCTGGTGTAGTGCTGAACTGGTTTGAATGACAGGGACTACTTTGTGTCGATCAGTAATTACACATCTCAATGTGCAAAAACTCTCACTAGTGCAGAAAACTAATTATTTTAATTATTTAATGATTTAAACTAATCATTTTTTTGTGTCATTATGCAGACGACACATGCATGGTACCAAAATTTCCTCCAGTTAAACAAAGATAAAACAAAAATAATTATCTTTTGACCATAGAAGAATGATTAAAAGTCAGTGCTCACCTCCAATCACTAACATTAAAGGCCACAAACCAGGCCAGAAATCTTGATGTTGTCATGGAATTTTAAATTCTAAAGTTGATCAAACAGCTCCAGCTGATTCAGAACGCCACTGCTAGAGTCCTCACAAAGATCAGCATAATAGATCACAACACTCCAGTTCTCAGATCTTTAAATTTCTTATTTGCCAAAGACATTATTAAAATACCACAATTAATTTATAAAGAACACAATTGTTCAATGTCAAATAAATGTATGATTTGCTGTTCTGCTTTGAACTATCAAGACCTTTCAGAGGGTCTGGGACAGGTCTACTTGTCACAGAGTCAAAAGTTTTTATGCACCACTTATCTGAAACAAACTCCCAGAAAACCTGAGATCCACTCCAACTCTTTAAATTAAAACTATTCATATTTTGCAGTGTACAGAAGCTGCACTGTTTTATTTGATAGTTTATATTTAATCTGTCTATTATAGCTTCTTTTTTATAATAAACTGGTCTTGGCCTATGCTCTGATTGTTCTGCTTACAAATGGGACTTTCCATTACTCAGGGGAAGGTGTGGGGTTTTTCAGATAAAGTCATCTGTGCTCCTTCTATTTTCACTTCCTTTCATATGTAACTAACCCTTATCAAATAAAATCAGCATCAAGGGTAAAAGCGCAAAAAGCGAAATAAGATAATTTATAATACTACTTATAACAGTCTTGCACACTAACCTTACCTCCACTTTTTTGTCTGTATAATAAGATGTTGTCCAATTTTATCAGCACAGATTTGAAAAAGAAGTGGAAAATCTACCTAGTCTGAACATTTTCACCCTGAGAAAATTGGTGTTTTTATAATTTTTATTGCTAGTCTTACTATGAGATGGTCATGATGAATTTGTCCTAACTGGTGTCATTGCCTTGATTGCAAAAGCAAAGAGGGTTGACTAGTAGGGTCATTTACCTCAAAGTAGTTCCTACATGGGAGCATGGAGTCAGCTGGATTCCTCCGGTCTTGCATGTTGTTGGTGTCATCTGCAGGAATGAGACAACTTGCCAAATCAATCATTTCACTTTAAATGTGTAAAAGTGTAAGTGCAGACACACTACAGAAATTACAACAAACAGTTACAGAGGGAACTCAAAATAGATACACTTATCAACGCAAATGAGTAATACTTTTGTGTGTGTGACTTGTGCTGCGATATTTTTACTGCATGTAGTGACACATTAACTGACACATTGTCAAAAGCCCTTATACTATTGTTACATTAAACCATGGACTATTATTAGAGTGATATGTCCCCAATTGTGGCTTGTGGCTTGGAAAAAATACATAGATGACGCTGAAGAAGATGAATGTGTCCACGTGCTAGATGTATGCAAGGTTCTTCCGGTTATGTCATCTAAAACGTTTGTGGGCAGCAGGTATTATAAACCATGCAAGAGCTGGTCAGCATCACAGCATCTAAAAAGGGAGACTTGTGACAGGCCTTAAAGACAATACCATTTACAAAAACAAAGAAAAGTGCAATGTGCTGCTTTACTGCTTGCGATAAAACTATGGAATGTATAACTTTGGTGTCATGCAGATTGTGGGTTGGATATGTAGAATTTTATAGATAGTTTACTCATATATATCACTGTTGTGCATGCAGATAGCTACATTGTTCACAGACAACTATATGTAAAGCCCAAGTTGCGTTGATTCAAAACTGAAATGAAGGTAAAACACGCTATTTACCGGAATTCATGTTCATTGATTAAGACCTATTACTATCTTACTGGAAGCTACTTAGAATTCAGCATGTAGGCAACTTTTTATAGTCTGCCACCCCACAGATGTCTGCGTGACCAACTTCAGCATTGAACAGAACATCAAAACCACTTCCTTGTCTTTTTATAGTCCAAATGGAGAAGTAAGAACAACCAGATGAGTCTGCCATTGATTGCTGTCAGTGTCTCTCAGGTCTTTTACACATCGTTCATCTCACCTTACTTGCATACAAAACCATATTCTTTTTGGAACTATATCAAGATCACCTACAATGTAAGTGACAGTTTGCTTTAATACATTATATTATTTTGATACCTGTAAACACTAAGAAATAGACCAAAAAATAATGGTATCGACTTAATTTTTAGGATACAGTTGAGTTCTTAAGAACTCTAAAAAAAGTAATAAGTGCTAATATCTGTATTTATAGTTAATGTTGTTGCATGGTTCTGTCCTAAATCCTGATGATACGAATGTGATATTTGTGCTATTTTTGATGTATATATATATTTGTAAAGACAGTATATTGTACATTAACGTAAAACAATGCTTGTTAGGGTTTAACGTCACTTTAATGTGAGTTGACATCAGTTTCAGGAACATACTGTACCACTGTAGTCAAATATGTCCTCAAACAGTGCAAAACATATCTTAATGGATGCTGAAAACTGAAAACTTCTGTAAATGTGTAAGTGAGTGGGAAATAATCACTTCAATCTATCAGTTCTTCCTTTTGAATTTATCAGAATCTAACATTACAGAAACAAATCCACTTATTTGAAGAAAAAAAACTAAAATACTATACAATTTCAGTAAAGTTTTAAACAAAGCAATACAAGAACCCCAGCCAATATATTCAAAGATAAATCAATGTTAAAGGATCATACCAGTGTTTCAAATAACATACATTACAGTACATTACTGCTGACTAGTATTTTTAGATAATTAAAGGTAGTTGCTAGTTTTTAGTCCAGTAATGTCCAGTAATGAAATTAAGGTGGATGTACTGCATCATCTGTTAGCCAGAATTTTCATGGCTTTTCAAATACAAAAGCCTATCCTATTTACATTATAATTGTATGCCCTCATGTTTGCTTTTTTTTTCTCTTTTATGTATGCTTATATTTTTCTCTTTTGAGTTAGATTTTACAAAAACCTGTGAGCTGTGAGCAAGTGAGCAAGTCAGTAGCTTCTTAAAAGTTGAATTAAACATTTTACTTAAGTAACCAGTACTCAAGTTACTGTACATAAATACAAATTTGAGGTACTTGAGTATTTCCATTTTATGCATCTTTATACTACTTGACTACATCTCAGAGACAAATGTGACAAAGTTGACTTTTTAAAGATACGTTGTTCTCACAGGACAGCAACACTACAAACACACAATGATCTGATGATGAAGTATTTAGATCCTTTACTTTAAAGTATCATTACCACACTATGAAACTACTCCACTAAAAGTAAATGTCCTGCATTCAAAACCTTACTTACTATGTAAGTAACATCAGCAAAATGTGCTTAAAGTTTCAGAAGAAAAGTACTCATTGTGCAGTAAAGTGGTCTCTCTGACTGTGTTTTACTATTATATATTTTTGGATTAATATTACCACTGCATTAATGAGTATGTTGCATTTTACTGCTGTAGATGTTTAAGGTTGCACTAATTGTCTTTACTTAACTGTTTAATCTACAGCCATACATCCTATTCTAGCATTGGCCCATAAAGAACACTTAATCCTTATGTTTATGAGAAAAACTCAAATTCAAAATCACCACATTTTTAATTGTTTTCACTTGACAATAAAGGTATAGAGAACAATCCGAAAGTAACTAGCTAAAGTTCTTAGTCAGATGGAGCAAAGTAAAAAGTTTGCCCCTGAGATGTATAAAATGAAAATACTTCAAAGGACCTCAAATTGGTACTTATGTACAGTAAAAGTACCAAGTTACATTCCCTGATTGGCAGCTGGTAAAGATGGGGCTATTTGTAACAAACTAATGGGTAGCTTAATCTGTAATATTATGTAATCACATATTATTTGTATTATTACAATATATTATATTGTTGTTGTTGGTGTTAGGGTACGGCGGTGGGATAGGACTCCTTCCTTATTCTCCTCACCGTACTGAATTTGTATTCCAAAACTCATAAAACTTAACTACTATTCCATGTCTTCTCAGATACCAACATGAATGGCCTTCTTGTCCTGTTGTACTGCATAGAAATCCTGGGTCCACTGTTGTGTGGAGCTCAAGTTACCACTAATTTTGAGTCAACCCAACAAGATTCCCAAAATGATTCAACCAGTGCTTCCAGCAGCACATCTGACGGGATGAGCACTCACTTACCAACAACAACAACAACAGTCTCCCAATCATCCAATAGTCCTAGCACTTCACCTTCACCTTCACCTGGCCCACAGCCCACCACACCAAACACCAACAATACCTTTTTCAGCAGGGACTGTCTTCCGGTATTAATGGTGACTGGTGGACTGATCCTAGCCTGTACTATTCTGCTGGTTTCTACTTTATTGTTGGCATGGAAGGTGTGCCATTTGAGCAGACGCATCAAGGCGCTGAGCAGCAATGCAGACCTGATCAGCAACCCTGAATACTTCATGGGAACTGACAAGAAGAACAAAAGCAAGCCAGAAGAGACAGAAGCCAAAGAGACCAGCGTGTTAATGTCTGACATCAGCCAATCACAAGAGGAGAGGGGTAACGGTACCACCAAGGAAGAAGGAGAGAAGGTAAATGAGGACGAGAAAATGGGAGAGGAGAAGAAGAAGGAGGTGGAAGACACCGCCAACGGTGAGGAAGCTTCAACTACACCTGTCGCTGAAAGTTCATCTCCCCCAAAGCCACAAGAGGAGGCCACCGATTCCCAGCCCACCCCAGCTGTAGCAGCCTCCACCTCTGAAGGCACAGAGGAATCAAAGGATGTGGTGTAGAGCTGTGTGTGTGAAGCTAGAGAGTTTCCTGAGCAACTGTCCTTAATTTTTATAGCTTTACAACCCATTTACAGTAAATAAAGGATTTTATATGCAGCTTTTTCTTTACAATAAGTTGAACAACTGTGTGTGCTGTTAAATCTGTCTATCCCAGCACTGAGCATTTTTGGTTGAAAACAACTGGTTTATATTGTATTTCGCTCTTATTTTTGTGTTTTGAATATTGGAATACGTTAATGTTATAATACACCTCTTTCAAGTCAATTTGTTACTTACCTGCTTTATTTTTCTGAGATTTTGAGATGTACACACATTTATGTACATAAATGACATGTGCAACAACCAGAGGAATAAAATAGAGCTTGTGACCTCAGTTTCGAACTCATTACCATGCATCTATTTCCTATTTAGTGGTTGCTGTGTAACATGAGTGCATGTTTGTGTTTGTGCATGAGAGAGAGAGTGAGAGAGAGAAAGAGGTCTGCTTGATTAGCAAGCATAGAATGTTCCTCTTCCGGGCAGTGCACCCAACTCAGAAAGATCCCCCTCTTTCACTTCAACCAGAGCTGACAAAACCTCACACAAAACCTTTTCAAAAAACCAATATGCGGTTGTTTCCGTCGCCTTGTGCAGATATTTGTTTGTCTACTTACTTGTGACGTCATGATGGATGTGCACCTTTCATTAAAAGTCTGAATAGTTTGTCCCCTCTCAATGCAGCCTCCGCTTCAACTCCAGCTCAACTCTGACAGCAAGTAGATGAAAACATTCTGAGTTGCGGTAGCTCTGGGTGATGTGCAAGTTTAGAGCTGGGGTGCAGTAAAAGCCATCTTTAGTGAAAGTAAATGTCAAATATGTCTCAGGCAGGAACTGATTTCCGTATTGTATATCAGGCATTTAAAGTGAATAAGGTAAAACTTGGATATGAGAGATTTGGGTGATTGTTTTTCCCTCTGCTGCTATGTGGTAACACAGCTCAAACTGACAGCACAGCATGTTGTATAGAGACAGACAGTGAAAGTGAGGGTTTGACTTTGAGGCTTGTTGTAAGGGGCAATGACAGGATACACGAGTTTCACTCATAGTGAAAGTAGCCACTGTAAGTTGAGGCAGGAGAGAGGGAAGTACAGAGACAGGTGTGTGATCAAGTAACAAAAACATTGCAAAAGATGTACTTTGTGTAGTTTACATGACAATTGAGCAATGTCAAAAATATACCAAAATATGAATACACAACAACAAAGACTCTTAGCCACTGGGGTTGAATTAATATTTTTTTTTACCATTTTACTTTATTATTATCTTGAATTTTAAGTTTAAACCCTGATCACCATCTGTATCACTGTCGAACGGTCCCCCAGAATGCAAGGCACTGATGCATTGCAGTGCAGAATGGAGCTTGCTTGTATTGCTGATGGCAGGTAGGGAGCTGCAGCGGAGTCCTCTGCAATAAATCTTGAAGGTTTTTGTGGCAGTGTCTAAATTTACACAGGGAAAATAACAACCAATTACAGCACGGTATTACTTTGTAAAGGGAAGCTTTAGAGAGGGATAATATTGATTTAGGTGATAACTGATAACAGTCTAATTTATTTTGAGTACAAACAGGACTGCAATCAGTCAATTAATCTAACCAACAATAGATGTCACTTTAAATGCAGAAATAAATCCTGAAAGCCTCCAGATAAGGGATTGAGGAGTTTCCTTTGTAGCAGCCTTGTACGCAGGGACACCTCCACTACTCGCTCCATTTCTCCTCCGCCACCACCCCCCTCCCCCTTCCTAAGACTTCCCCCCACCAACACCCCACCCTTCCCTCACTTCCACTGCACAGAGTAAATCCAGAGTCTGCAGTGCCTGATCGCGCTAACCCAAAAGATCTATATAAGAGGCAAAGAGGACAAAAGGACCAAACTGCAAGGCAGTGAGGATAACTTCAAAAAAAGCTGCACTGGACAAGTGAGCAAGGGTCAAATTCTATGAGGGGACTTCAGGCATAGGAAAAAAATCACCTTCAGCAGAACAGCAGCTGGTCCCGAGCTTAAAAGCGGGGAGAGGAGAGGGAAGAGGGGCTGGACAGCAAAAAAAAAAGGAGCAGAGAAAAAGTGACTGGAATGATAAGATGAGAAGGTGAGTTATGGACAAATTCAAAGACTCTTTCTTTACACACATATTTTGCCACACCCTTGCTCACACATACTGCAGCGTAGAGCTCCTGACTGTGTCTTTGCCTGTCTTCGGACTAGCTGATGCATGAGTTCTCTGTGGAGTCATTAATAAAACCCATCTATTGAGCTAGTTCTCCTCCTCTGAGAGCATGGGACTGACTGCTCTGACAACCACTGATGACTGAAGACGCAAACTGATGCCAGGGAAAATGACTACAGGGATTTCTCATCTTTTGTGATGAATGATATTCTTGAATAGACTAGAAATATCCTCTTACACATCAGGTCAAATATTTCTCAGTTATAAAAGAACAGGAGACATTTCAACCCTCCGCTAGTGGTGCATATATACAGTATGAGCATTTTTTTATAAAAGGACACTACTACAGCGTCCCTGAAAACATTCCTCCCATGGGGCAGTGAGTTTGGCATGTAATGTGAATGTGTGTATCTGCAAGCAATGCAGTGATGTGCTGCAAATATTGAGCAGCCTGTGTGTGTGTATGTACAGCACAGAGAGAGACAGAGAGGGTGAGAGAGAGATTCTGGCAGAGGGTGGAGCTTCACAGAAACGATGAAACAAGTTTTATTCAGCCTCCCTCTGCAGTTACTATGCTGCTCCTGCAGATAGCAAGTGCATGTTTCCTGTGTTCACCAGTCAAGCACACTGCAGGCCTCACTTCTGCTTTCACAGTGTGCCTCCTGGAGTTCAAGAGGATGCTGTATAAGACAAATCCTAACATTCCTGTCTCCCTGTCTTTCTTTTAGCAGGCATGTGCTCCTGAAGCTCCCCCCTAATGAGGCCCTTCTGCAACTCCTGCTTGTGTTGTTGCTGGGGTTGCATGTTCTAGCTGTGTGCCCCTCCATGTGCTCCTGCAACCGCAGTCACAGGGAGGTAGACTGCTCCTGGAGGGGGCTGAGACAGTTGCCCCATGGCTTGCAGCACAACATGCAGTCCCTCAACTTGTCCCACAACCGATTTCACAACCTGGATGGCCAGCTCACCGCATACACCCATCTCCGCTCCCTTGATTTGTCTCACAACCGGCTGAGCCACCTGCCCACCGGCTTGCCTCGTTCCCTCTGGCATCTCTACGCCGCCTCCAATCGCCTCCAGTTGCTGGACAAGAACGATACCGTCTTCCAGTGGAATCTGCAATTGCTGGACCTCTCCAACAACAAGCTGGAGCGAGCCATCTTCATCAACAATACACTGATCAATCTGTGCACGCTCAACCTAAGCCACAATCACTTCTGGACTTTGCCCACCAACTTGCCTGTACACCTGGACACTATTGACCTGTCCCACAATTTGCTTGTGAAGGTGCTGCCGGGCTCTCTGGACCGGCTCCTTAGATTAACTCACTTCTATCTGCATGCTAACCGCTTTTCCACACTGCCCATTGGAGTGTTTGACAAGACAACATCACTCAGAGTCATCACTCTGGGGGACAACCCTTGGGCCTGCCACCTTTATGACGACATCAGCTACTTACTCTCCTGGACTCAACATACCCCTGCTCACGTCCTGGGCTGCCCTTGCCACACCCAGCCCGTCTGTGGAGGGGTCCGCCCTGGCAGGACTGGAGGGTGGCACTTTGCCTCGTACAACCTGCCCCCTCTGGCAGCGAGTGCTCAGGACCTGAGCTCCATGCCTCCTGAAGCCAGTGTGACCGGTTGGTGGTACTTGTCTGTTTCTGCTCTGCTAAGCACCTCACACAACCCCAAAGAGACCTGGAACACGCCTCACCACCCCTTCACAGTCACACCCATCAGCATCTCCACCCAGCCACCCAGAAGCCCAGACACACACCTGACCATTAATCACTTTTCTGCACCTGCTAGCCCAGCTGCCGGAGAGCACATGTTCCACACTGATGCCCATCTCATCTCTGGCACAAAAGAAACCTCACCCGCCGACACATCCCTTTTTTCTGACACAAGCTTTGTTACTGACACACCCACAAGGGCTGACATGACGCTGGCTACAGACAGATTCTTTACAACAGAGAGCCTCTCCGTCCGAACAAAGAAGACAACCACTCTTCGCACCAGGAGTGTGAGGAGGCAGAATCAGTCTATTCCTAGTGGCGTCAGCAACTGCAGCCCCGATGCTTTTGCTGCCTGCTCCTCGCTCCCTCTCCTACAGAGCCTGGGGCTTCTTTCTCTCATTCTGCAACAAATCCTTTGAAAGACGAAGACTGACAGCTCAGTGCTAAGCATATGCATTTACAGCACAAACAAATAGAGCACAGATAAGAGCCTGTTGACTGTTGTGGTACTGTTATGTTTGTATATTACCAGCTCTCTCAGCAAAAGGCCATTTACAATACAACAGCTTCATGACAAGTTCTCTTAATTCCTGCTTTCCTGAGTATGATGCTACTTTTATGATAGTAAGTCAAAAAAGCAATGTGTTACCTTTTTAACACTTTTTACAAGCCTGGACTCGAATGCACTGTCACTGGTTTAACATTGTAATGAATATATCTAAGCACATGGTGGCACTATACATTCAGGTAGCAGTTTATTATGTAACTGAATGTAGCCTGGTGCTCATCTGCAACTACTGTCTACCCTTTTCAAGGCTGTTCAGCACACATTATGACCTAAAAATTATTAAAAATCTTTTATTTTTTCCAAATTTTCTAAAACTATCGGCTGGGTTTGACTGATGTTGTCTTGGTCATATTATGGTCAATTTATTTTATAGTATTGGCTTTCAAGCAGACATAACAAGTTTTAATTAACTTATTTTGACTCTTAATAGATGTCCTCGATGCCTGCCTGCTTGTTTCATGTAACAAACCATATCACTCACCAGAGGAGCAATATTTTCTGGGGACAGGTTGTTTGTAAGGAACTGGTCATGACATGTATACCTAACAGGGAACAACAGAGACTCTGAAGCGGAGGGAAAACAATGTTGTGTCACTATCTTTAACAAACTCTGAGTGCCGAGTACTGCTTCTGTATTTTGATCACATCTCAGACTTAAGTGTCCTTCATGATTCAGTGACGTTCGTGAAAATGATCTGCATGGTGATTGAGCGTTCCAGGAATGCTAACCTACTGCTATATTGCCGCAGAGCATCAAAGCGCCGACATTCTCAGCTTATTTATATGAAATGTTAAGATATTCCAATTTTGCTTGCATAAAGCATAGATGACAGTGATGTGGCAGAGTACAGGTTTTTACATTTTAGAAATACCTTTGCATATGGCACCAAAAGGTACCAAAAAAGTAGGAAATGCATCTCAGCAAGCTGTATTATTTTGATAAAGTTAAGAGGAATACAGTGATCCAGATAAGCACTTTCTGTAAAGTTAAATAAAATGTGCTGAGTTATTTACACTTTTTGATGATTGTTTGAATTTTGCCTCATCTGCCTTTTTACACCACAAGACAGACAAAAAGCTATTTTATTTTTTTGACATAGGTAGGGGCTGAGGTAGTTGTTTAATTATCAGAACAGATCTGTTTTTAAGTTTATTTATTGAAGGAAGATTCACCAAGCATGAAAGTGCTTATTCCAGTCAGACCTCGCTTTGCAGTTTATCACACCTTCAAACTGCCCAGAGTACACACTGTCTTATCTGTTGGTCACTGAGCAATCATTCTGAAATTCTCAGTTAAAAATAAATAAATAATCATGTGCTGTATAGACAAATACATTGTGGAACAGAGACTAGACCATTATAGTGTATTCTTTCTATGTGAACTTTATTGATGTCCTGCAGAGAAGTGAGAAAATCTCACATGCAGAAACATCTGTGACGGAGAAAGCAGGGCTCTATCCCGGCACTCGGTGCCACAGGGAGGCACAGGTGACTCTGTGGTTCAGCAGGGCACAGCCTTGAAGAGCAATATGCAGTCACTGTCACCACCCACACTGTGAATAATAAACATCTGATGTAATGCCAGTTGGGCTTTGGATCATACCTGAACATCTAGCCAAAAAATGGAAGAATAGAAATCCATAAAATACATTGTCTTGTATAGAAAATTCTTACTGACACAGGAATTTAAAAATACAATACAACTGGATAAATAGACAGATATTATGTGGTTGATGATAATTTAGGAAATACTAATATATCATTCTCAAGATTTACTGTATGGAAAGAATAAATACAAGTCAGAAAAAGTGAACACAAACTACTGATGATATTATCTGCATACCAGCCCTCTAACTGAAAACTCAAACACCTGCTGAATAAAGTGTGTGTATTTATAGCTTAGAAGCAGAAGCCAAAACAGAAACTTGTGGTTGCTGCGCAGTTTATTTATAAGTATGATTAAAAGCTCAAAGAAAGTTAACTTGGTTTTCATTTCTTCCCTCAACTATCTATTTCCCCTTTAACTTATGTCTTCATTTAATCCCTTATTAGTTATTAGGTAGTCCCTTTTTACCAATCTAAAGTACTATTAACCAGCTAGTTTTTCACTGTAGATGTTTGGGGCACATGATCGTCACTCTCCTTTTGTCTTGTTGCCAAATTGCAATTTTTATACATCCTAATCCTTAAGGAGATTTGTCTCTATAACAGATACATGATATAGATATATAGAAAAATATATAATTTTCGTTATCTTTCTGTCAGCCTTGGGCTGCAGAACTTTAAAACATATCTTCCAAGTACAGCACTGTAGGTGCCAGCGAGCTGGCCTGCTTGCCAATTATTTTCTCTGACAACACAAAGTAATGTCAGATTTCTCTTCTGGCTTCTCCTAATAACTGACAAGGTGTAGAAGGCTAGCATCATTTACTGCTCCATGCCTCCCCTCTTCATCTCTCCACCCAGCTTGTTTTGAGTGAGCTGCCTTCTTTCTTCAGACACACTCAATAAGACTCACCCTCAGTGTACTTCGTTATACCCGGCAACCCGAACTGCCCTCTTGTGTCCTTATATATGCCACCTTGTTCAGACGAGAAAGGTTTTAAGAACATATAATGTAGTATAATCTTAATGCAGATGGGGAGTGTGTATTTTTACTTTATACATCTTGGTGTGTGTGTGTATCATTGTTGAACAAGTCTTCTGTTTTTGAAGAGCACTGCTTACAAAGCTGCCTCACTACCAAGCTAATGGGTTCTTGGAGTTAGTTTGGATTTGAACCTCTTTTCTGTATACAGAAATAACGGAGAGTCCAGAAAACAGCCCAGCATTTTAACTGTTCCTCTTAGAGCAGCATGTGGGCGTCATGTAATTTTTCTCTTCAGTAAGAGAGGCCAGAAGGCAACTGCAGGTGGGGCACCTGGTGTGTGATTTTACACTTGCCACTCCCTAAAGTCACACAAAAGACCTGTCACACTGTGCCACGTCCATGAAAGACACATAAACACAAATGACATCAGCTCCTCTCATGATTACATGTGCTCAAAGTGCCCTCTTGTGGCAGTGGGACAGAAATGAATGTTTATCCTAAAACATTACAGTCAGAGAGGAGAGATTGTGTTCTTCACCAGGACACAACATGCCCCTGACTATTCTCAAGGACCTCTTGAAAAAAATCCCACCACTGTTTAGAATGCACAAACATGACATTTGAGTTTAACTGCAATGGCAGGACTTGATAATTCAACACACCATGTTTGGCCAAACATCCAACTAATGCTCAGATTTGGAATAAAATGCATCTATATACTGTAAGCTAATTTGTGGAATTTTCTTTGAACTTTCAAAAGATATTGTTCTCCCAGAACATCACACTCAAACACAGTAGGAGAACAAACAGACTGACAGCAGCAGATGAATGAAGGATAGCACTCTGTGGCACTCAACAGAAACCATTTCTGACATGAGACAGGGAAATCATGACAATTACTGTAGATAACCAGCAACCTACACCACATAATGTACACCTAATGTAATGCCCATTACCATGATAGACTGGAGCTCACACCCATGCTGATGCACAAAGTGGCAGACCTTGAAAAGGCCACTGCAGCCTTCTTATAAAACAATGGCTGCCAATTTCGACCTCCTTAGAGCCTGCATCACCATATCAATTGAAACCCAGAATTAGGCTGGTACCCAACCAAAGGACGTTCAAATGTTGCAGATAAACTTTATCTGATAAACCTAATCTGTATTGACAGCTTGGGTCTATATGCCAAGGCTCACCCTCTCTTTGAGCCAAGAGCAATGTTTTCCAGTCTGGCCACTGATCAACTGAAAAGTGAAACATGTAGGAATCTGGAAGAAATAACAAGATGTACTCCAGCAGCTGGAAGACTGATGAGACAGGCAAAATTCTACCCTGCAGCATAGTGGGGGGAAGCTGAGGATATGGTATCTCTCGCTCTCATCTCAATGGCAGAGACAAGGCAAGGTCAGTGTTAAGGTCGGTGGTTGCAGAATAGGAAGTGGTTGGCAACTGAGAGAATATATGGTGGCAGGCAGAAAGTGAAAAAATTAGGTAAAGAGGAAAAGAGATAGAATAGGCTCATGGAAAACAAAGAATGAACCAGAAGACAGAAAGCACCACTTAACCGGTGTGTCCAGAGGGCCCTGCTATTAGGATTTAGGAATATAAGGTATAGCACATGCATTCATATAAACAAACTCAGAGAAAGCGACTATAACTGTGTATCAGAGTGTTTCAGGCTAGTAATCCGTATGCTTTATTGTGTGTCAGTTTGTCCCTATAGCACCAACAAATGCAGCTGCCTGCATGCATGAGTGTGTCATAACACCGCTATGGAGAGAAAATCTCGCTGTAAATTTGCATGATAAGCCAGAGAGCATGGCACGCAGCTGTCCTGAGGAGGATTTCAACAAAATGGGCTTTAACGTACTTTGACAGAGTGGAAAAAAAGATTTGGGGATGGCGGGCTCAAAATCAAGCTCACTTCACAACAATGTTGAATTAAAAATCTGCAACCAATCCAAAAGAAATGATATCACTTACATGACTAGGATCGTTTCACATTCAGTCTCTGTAGGGTGGGGGGATTATACCACTTCCTCTGTCTTGACAAAGCTCTCCAAAAGGCCAACATGCACATCTTTCTCCCCACTGCTGACTGTACAGGTGATAGGATAGGATCCTCACGGTGCTTTAATGCCACTCGCCATCATCTGTAACACACAGCTCTCTCTGGAGTCATACAAACAGCAGTGAGAACATTCCAGGGAGCAGCAGGGGCATGAGCTTATCTCCCAGCCCAGTGGAGCAGGTAAATGATGTTGTCATCATCCACTTGTGTTGGAGCCTGATTGGTCTAAAGAGCGCCATATGCAAATGGCCCTTTAATACTGAGGTCAAGAATGCAGATCAACTTGCATGGCCTATATTGGTAAAACAGACATATATGTAGTTACAGTAATTCTGGAAAACGGTTCTATTCATGCAGTATTTTTGGGATTTGCTTTGATTTACATATTTTGTAACACTCTGAGGAATCTGTGATCCTTTGGGGTACTATAAGCTATTTTGTGGAACCCTGAGGTGCTTTTGGGCACTTGACACAAGAGAATACTGCCTTTTTGTAATTTGCAAGGATAATTTGGAAGCATTGAGTAGCCTTATGCATTTTAGATTTCAAAAGTCAATATTACAGTTTCATTTTTTAATAATGTGGATGTCTGAATATCACAGTGGCCCATCTACCTGGAATGCTTGTGCGTAGCCTCTGGCACAGCTTAATTAACTCATCTGCATAGTTACAGAAGGCATAATGGGAGAGAGAAATCACTCATCACTAGAACATCCTTCCTCCTGATCTGACTTCAAACAGTTTCTCTCTGTGGCGACAATTGTGCACATTCCCAGTAATCCTTACCTATCATGATCAGTCAACAAGGTCTTTACAGAAGCACCCTTACAAATCAATGATGATGATGATGATGAGTGGAATTAAATTCATCAGTTCTAAATCGAATAATCCTATGTGGACGAAATAGACTTTTATAAGATGCTAAGTTATTCCGGCAAGATGAGAGAGCAAGTAGACTGCAGTTTGGTGGGTGGCTAATTCCTGAAATAGGACTGTCAATTATGCATGTTTCGGTTTGCCTCTCTCCCTGCAGTCTGAGAGGTGATTTAGCTCAGCAAAGAAGAAGCAGAAAGGAGAGGACACTAGAGGGAGACAATTTGTTCACATCTGCAGCGTTCTCCACAGCTTTCCTCTGGATTCTGAATTTTGCTATAATGGGCCCTCCTGAGCAAAGCAGAGAGAGAACTCAATCCACACAGTGATCAATATGAAATCATTCCCATAATCCAAAGGATAACATTAACAACATCTCAAGAGTGTTTGAATAATAAGCATAACACATTCATGGAAGTGATGTGGAAGGTATTTACTCTGAGCTCTCATTTAG